CAATACAACAAGTGTTTATACAAACGAACGTAACTATTTGCATAGAATATATCTCATAAAATGGGACGCAATGAATAAAGACGTTGGTGGGTGAAATTAAATATATGGGTTCGAGTAAATTCATATCGGTGAAAAAAACTAATATGTTCTAACCGAAGTTGTTAAACATCAGAGAAAGGAAAACAAAGTGGTAGCAGAACAACGCAAGCATGAAAACCGCGCTAAAAATCCAATAGTTACATATAGAAAGGCAAATGTGCATAACAAAATACGAAGCGGAAAACAAATGGAGCAATGAAGATAAAAATATGCAGCTGGAAATGTAGAAATATAAAGCAAAGTAGGTCAGAAAAGTGAGGAATGTCAAAGAACAAAAATAATGTTGAGAAAAGAAAAAAGTAAGAAAAATAAATAAATGTTTATGCTCGACAATGCGAGACACACTTGCATAGGCATGAGCACGGTGCTAATTGTAAAGGTTCATCAGTGACATGTGATTCAATGTGATAAGTGTGATAGGATAGGTGTAGATGTGATAGGTGTATAGGAGTTTTTGTAGATTTGCATGTGTATGGGTTGACAAGGTGTCTACCTGTCTATTACCCATTACCTCGTTCATACTGGCTCCAGGAGACAGTTGGTCGTTGCTGGAAGGGACAGGGTGTACAGTCCTTGTGGTCGTGCTATGCTCGAAGAGCGGTTCCATGCACTCAGTGTGGAGCGGACTACGGTCCAGCCACCGCCTTGTGTGTGCTTGATTCCCCAACTACAGCGTACTTGCGTTTACATGTGAAGGAGTGTGGGCCGATTCCGTTGATGAAACGTGGCTCCCATCCGCATGCCTCCCAGTCTTATTCCTTCGGGTTTACACTGGATATGGGATGTGCGGTTGGAGCTGTGGGTGGTGCAGCGCAAGCCACCCATGGTCCCTTTGTAGGCGCAGGCGTCCTGTGGCTGGCCACAGTGACAGGCAAATCCGAAACCGGATGCCGACAACCATGTGTATGAGTTATAGTACCTTTCATTTCGTGCGACACCCTGATTCACTTTGAGGTGCACTGGTGTCAATGTAGCCCGATCAAGTACCTCTGTATCCCCCCCTATCACGCACACACTAAAATCCAGACAAGTCATCAATCGGGATTCACCTACAGCGGCAACAGGCTGTGACCATGCTGCATCAATACTACCGGTCCGATCTACGCTCTGGTATTCGCTCCACCTACAGAGAGTACTTAAGGCCACTTGGAAACACTCAACATCGCTACCTCGTGTTGGAGTGAAGAGCTGGGCGCAGTAAGTAACAACAATCGTTCGAATCCAAGTACCGTATGTTACTGAAAATAAGCCGAGGAATATTGGTCAATTTTTCGTTTCTGTAGAGGGGAGTCGGCTTACATAAAGGTCAAACGCACATGCAAAATCCACCAAGGAATTCACTGCATACCTCTGCTCTTATCTTCCGCTAGTGACTGACGGTAGTCCAGACGGGGGTTTGAAATGCAACTAACTAGACGCGTTACATGGTATCGCAAATTTGGTATATTGCACATTTCACGTTCGCGACGGATGGTATTAGCGAATCATAAGTCTGTAAACATTATGTTATGTCAGGCGACGTCATCCTATACCCCTGACCGTGAACTTTGCTCTCACCCATTGCAATACTGTGGTTCATATGTATGAGGCCCCCGACTATGCAAGACAGCCTGTCGGACACCCTCTCACCATTACCCTATGTTGTCGGCTGTCTTATCTGTTTCATGTGACTTGACGTCTGGTGCGGTGAAAGTCTGTTCTGACGGCCCTACTCCGCGACTAGAACATTACGGTCACCACAACTGGCCAATAGTAGAACAGGGTTTACTTGAACACACTCAAGTGAGAGCGATTAGCGATGACGTCGAAATCGTGGAGAAACAATTTTGTTTCTCTTTTGCTGTGTTTTAGAGGTCGGCTAATAGATGGACTTACGACTTAGGACAAATTTGATGTTGCAAAGTCATAGTGTCGACTTATCTATGGAAGGGCTTATATTCGGTAATATACGGAACTCAACACCGCTACATCGTTTTGGATGATCACGTTAGACCATGCATCTCAAGACAAATCGCCCCGGAACATCCGTGGAAACTGAGCAGTCCCGACAAGTAACTGACTAGCGATTCGCATAGAGATGTTGACGTTTTATCTTCGGGATCACGTGCTAGCCATGAGACTGAGCGTAGCAGTACTTCCCGTTCTTCATCCGCCGACTTTAACTTAGCAAAGCTTATGAAAATCAGTGGTGTTGTTCGCATCAGTTAAGTGCACCATTTCATTGATAGCTTCAAAAAGCTGATTGCTCTATCTCTGTCAACTACTGTATGCCATTGGTATTCTATTGATTATACAATTCGATTGGGTACAATTGCCCTGTAGAGTGATTAACCACTGACTTGGCGCCATGCGTTAGTTTGATTACACCCGTCCAAGATGTAATATCCACATCTAAGCTACCTCTTCTCGGGATTATCTAGCTCGGTTGTGTCTCACGATTACTCCAGGTGTTGCCCACCTACGCTTTGGTTCTCTTTGTGACTTATGTAACCTTTGTTATCTTCCCAAGTTAATTTTAGTACGCTTACACACCTAGACTATCACTTAAAGTAAACTTTCCTAATCTGGATAAGAAGTAGTCCTTGTATTTGATTTGCCTAGTTCTGCTACTCTGCTGTATATTCCATGTCAAAGAGTACACGATTATTTTCCTTCAAATTCTGCGTTGGTTTTTTGATATCCCCCGAGTGGCCGCGCTTGATGTGAATGTTGACAAGATACCTATCTGGCTAGTACCCACCACCTATTCTATACTGGCTCCAGGAGACAGTTGATCGTTGCTAGAGGGGACGAGGTACACGGTCTTCGTGGTTCCATGCAACCAGTGTAGAGCGGACCACGGTCCAGCCACCGTGTTCTATAAGGTTGGTACGCATGATTTCCCAATTAGACAGGAATGTTTCTGTTCTGCTTGCTGAAAGAGTGTGGGCTGGCTCCGTTGATGAAACGTGGCGCCCATCCACATGCCTCCCGGTCTTATTCCTTCGGGTTTACACCGGATATGGGGTGTGTGAATGGAGCTGTGAATGGTGCAGCAGAAGTAACCCATTGTCCCTCTACAGGCGCAGGCGTCCTGCGGCTGTTCTATGGATGCCGCAGTGACCGACAAACCCGGACACAGATGCTCCCAATCTATGTGTATGCCAGTGTTTCTTGGATTTGTGAATGTAGCGCGGATTCTGTGATGATTGTCCGTAGGATCGTCAGCGTGAGATGAGGTGAATGGAAATCTTCGTAGTGGATGACTGATATTCATGGATTGGGTAAAATCATACAGATACGTTAGAGGCGGTGATCTTAGTCAGTGGCGAGGCACATTTGCCAAGTCGAAGTGTTGTTAACCAGACATTGGTGGCTTTTTATAGAGAGAACGCTTGTCAGGCAGAAAGCAAACATACCCCGAAAAACTGCCGCCGAATCATTCGCCGGAATACAATAAACCTGAACCACCCAGCTGGCATAACCACGACATTCTTCAACGCAAAAAAAATAAAATAACAGAAAACAACCGCCGCAAGAAGAAAGTGAAGGCGCAAAAACGCAGAAGTAAAAATCGATCAGCCAGCATACAAAAGAACAATGACACAAAAGCGCAAAAAAACAAAGAGAAAAAATGGAAAAAAACAAAGATGAAGAGTCACATACCAGCAAGCATAAATGCATATAGCAACATAGAGAAAAACAATAAAAAAGGAAAGAGGAAAAAGAGGACAAAAAAAAAAATAAAGAAGGAAAGACAGGAAAAATAAAAAAGCAAACCACAAAGCAGCAGGTACAGAAAACAAGGAAAACAAAGACAATTGAGAAAAAACAAAAAACAAAACGGCAGAAGCAGCCACATAGAAATACATGCAACAAACAACCGCGTAGGACCCAAAAACCAAATGAAAAATGAAAAAAAGGTACAAAAGCATCGACATAAAAGAAAAAGAAACAAAATGAAAAAGAAAAATTTTAAAAAGTAAAAAACACAAATACCTGGGGAAAAAAACCTAAAAACAAAAAATAAAAGCAAGCAAAAACATAACCAGAAAAAAAACAAAAAACAACAAAATATACATACCAAAGGCAGGCTTAGATGACACGGGTTTCGTATCGACAAACTCCGACTGTCCAACTTCGTTCTTCGCTGCCACACTGAAGATGTACGACTTGTTCAACTGAAGACCTTCGATCGGTGTCTGCAACTCACTGGTTGTCGTCACCGGCTTGCCCACACGTTGAGTCGCCTCACGCATCTCCACCACGTACGTCAACCCTTCCGCCGCCGACACGTCCACACTGAGGCCGAGGAATTCCGGTTCCAACCAGTAGAACACCACACGTTCGCCCGTGTTCTCCCTCACTTCAGGCTGACGAGGCGCCGACGGCTTGTCCAGCACAATCAATTGCACCGACACTGACACTTCGCCCAACTCGTTACTAATCGTCACCACGTAGTCACCAGCGTCTTCCCGCTTCACCTTACCCAACGGCAACGATGTCAAACCAGACACCACATCCGGTTTGAAGCGCGGAGTTTGACTCGCACCCGGCTCCGAATCCGGACGTACCCGCGGTCTCCACACCCACTCCACCTTCGGTTTCGGACTCGCTGCGAACGGAATCTCCAGCACAGCTGACGCTCCAGCTTTCAATATCACCTTGTCCCTGAACTTCTCCGTCAAACGCAACACAGGTGCCACTGAACGGTGCAACAGAATGGAGAAAGACAACAGTGACCAGTAACCCACGAGGTACACAACAAATCAGCTACGAATACCAACAACCTCACGACATCACCGAAAACGACAGCTCGAGAAGCATACGACCAATGCAATGCACTGAATTGTAACGCAACGAAACGGAACGCAGTTCACGCTGTCAGATACCACATCACAGGCTTCACATCACGAACACACAGATCGCACACAATACAGTAACCTGTGCAGGCAAACCACCTCTACCACCCCGATCCTGCGGACTCGCCTAGAAACACCCCATGGCCGACATCATCCGTCTATACACACTAGAACATCACACCAACTGAGCACAAACAAAGCAAACACCACAACACCGAACCGATCGAAATACACTCACCAACAGCATATCGGAATACAACTTTCGTACAAACCTTGACATATACCTGACTTTCGGCAATGTAATCGCCCCCCCCCTTTGATGCACCATTACCATCCATCAAGCGAATGAGCAAGCCTCACACATCGCATTACTGAAACTTGCAAATGATCGTGCCATATGCTGCCCCTCGGTTTACTTCTGTCTTCTAGTCCACACGCCGGTTCCACCTACTCCGAACGCTCACCGCTGATTACTCATCTCAATGGCACATCGGTGCGTCTTATCCTCTGCATCCCATCTTCGCCCTCAATACTTCCCCTTCATTTTAGCTGCATACACTGCGACCATGCGTCAGTTGAACCAATGACAAATTCCTCAGCTATACAACCATACCCGGTCAATTTTCATTCCACTCATAACTTCATTTAGAGTTTTATCTGCTTTCACACTTCCCATCCCATTGTGGAACCACTGACGCGTTAGTACGTTCGACACACACACCTCCTCCCATAACCACTTCAACCCACCTCCTCCCTCTACACTTCGCCTCCTGTTCACTTGCTTTCGTTCTCCGAAACCGAAACATTCCCTCATATGATGATCGATTGGATCTTCACTCAGACTGTTTAGCATGTCTTCAACATTTCGTTGACCTACTCATAGCCTCATTAACTACCTAACACAAATTCCGAGTACCGTCGGCCTATCAGCTTAATGTCTTGCTTTCTTTCTCTGATCACACTACCGAATCATCCCGAACAACACGCATCGTGTCTGCCAACCACAAACACCACTTACAACATTGACTTACAACCGGTTGGCTGAAATATTCACCGTCCGTCAACCCGTGGTATTGTGTACTAACGTTCCCCAATAACCACACCCATTACGATCCAAATTCTATCTGCATGAACCACAAACTCTTCGCTACATCATACACAAATCACTTCTATTTACTGATCCACGCACTTTGCCATTCACTTCTCAAATGCTTGATTTCAAATCCACGTACATTTTTCACATTTCCTCTCTTCACGACGTTCCAGACCGCTATTCCTTCGACCTCATGATTGCCAACAAACAACGACGGATTTTCAAACAAAATATCTGCCTGATAGCTGAGAGCAAATTTGCTCGCGATCGATGAACAACTTACATGGAAGCACAGTTCTGAATGAATACTCTACCTAATGCAACGACCACGTTCACCTTCACACTGTCTCACGCCTATGAGAAATATACACATTATTAGCAACATTATGACTACCATTATAACAGTTATACTCTGCCACACATCACACAGATGATGCAAATCGCAGCGTAGACAACGGCAGATAGGTGAACCGGAGCTGCCATCGTCGCCCACTCACATTAAGCATCTGCTCACATTAACGAATCAATCAGCGCACCAACACCAACACTCTCAGGGGAGTACAACTCCACTGATGTGTTGACACATTATTCCACTACAGCACTGCGGAAATACAGGCGACTGCAGTGAGCACGACATTGCTAATGATACGGTCGGTTCGATGCGATCGTCGCATACATCTGCTCCATCTCAGAAGACCACACCTTGCACCGTCGTAACCAGAGTCCAGCCAATCATTCGCATCCACGAGTACATACCATATGATGCCCAAACCTAAGTGACCGACAACCGCTTTGTACTCACACCAATCACCTTACACTAAAAAAGTACACTCAACCGCTCCACACACACACACACACACACACGCACAAACACACACACAAAGTCACTTAAAGCAAATGACAAGTCAACTCGCACTCACCCTTCATATCCACTCGCGCCTCGCTACTCAAACCATTCACGCGAATTGTGTAAACACCCAAATCACCGTCTTCCAATGCGCTGAACACAATCCGATGCACTCGACCATCCGAAGCCTCCTCCACACGAACACGGTCCGGAGTACGACCCAACGGTTTACCATCCTTCAACCACTGCACCTTGTCACGCGGCGCACGTGACAACTCGCATTCCAGCACCACCGGCTCACCAGTCACTTCGGTCACTGCCACATCGGTCAGTGGGCGAACGAACTCCAGCGGGATTCCTATCACCACACAAAGCAAACGAGAAGGGTACACATTCACATGATTGCAACATCCTGTCGACCGAGCACAACATTACCAAGTAGTACTAATCGCTCCACACACACAAGCACACCAAAGAGCGATGACGAACAAATACAACTGGACACTCACCCAGTTCCACCGGATTCGAAGGTTCCGATGGCTTGCTCTTGCCCGCCTTATTCTCCGACGTCACACGAAACTCGTACTTCGTGAACTCCTTCATACCCTTGCACGACACAGTGCAATGTGGTTCGGGCACAGTGAACTCCGCCGCTACCTCTTGCCAACGCGTCGAATCCGATGGCTTCATCTCGATGTAGAAATTCGACACTGGCCCAGCACCACTCGCCTCGTCCGTCGGTTGCTCCCACGTCAGTTCGATGCTCTGCTCCGATACTGCAGCCCGCGCCGGATTCACCACCGCCTTCACGTTGGTCGGACTACGTGGAGGACCTGCAACACAAACACCAACGGGCAATACATGATCTGCAAAATCAACCCAGTTCACTCAACCAAATACACACTGCACTTGAGTACAAACTCACACACAACCTATCGCCGGATCTGCTAACGAAATGTCGCACAACCGGGCTGCCTAGAATCCGTGGCAATTACTCTACCCACAGCCATGCCTGGCTCCTCATAGACACTAGCTCACAGTCTGGCAGGCAAGTAAGCAAGCAAGCAAACATGCGAGCACGCAAACACGCACGAAGGCACACCCATGGACGTGCGATGCAACAGACAGCGTGACACCAGCAGCACTTCATCAACTCCTCCGTTTGCAACTCATGAGTTCTCGCGCCACGCAGGACACGTGCATTTCCACACACGAAGTGACCTAGCATGCCAACCGGGATCTCCCAAAAGCCAATCCCTGGAATGGGAACAACGTACGGCGAACACGAATCGCATAGGCCATAACTAAGACACCTCCGCCACAACTACACGACCGCAGGTTGACCATCACATTGGGCTAAGCCATCGAACGCGCTGTACATGCATCTCCAACGATGTTGTTAATTCGAAAAGCGCAGCAAGTAAACAAAGACTGGCAAATGCACGCATTTCGTATTGCCTCATCCGTGCATTAACAATAACTCTCAGTAATACTTATTCATTGAAGGGTGCGACAAACATACATACAAACAGACAAATTGACCAACACATGATAAATGAGACAGGATTATCTCCCCTATCCCCAGGGCAGTCTAATGCTGACTGATTAATTGACCGGTTAATTGCAATCGTCTCTGCGAAACGGAGGAGGCGAGAATTGTGTGTTGTAATAGGATTGTGAACGCCGAATTGACCTCGACTCAGTGACCTGTGGTCAATAGATGTCGGCCGATCGAAGAGGCTGGTGGCTTACGCAGACAAGCAGCTTGACTCTGGCCGGTTTCCTGCGCGGTTGAACATTGAACCCACTTAGGTATATGCTCCTTCATTCGGGAACTCAATGTTCTATCGGTCCTGCCTATGTAACTGGCGCCGCAGTCACAAATGAATTGGTAAGTGCAATGCGATTTGGTCCCGATAGACTGAGCCTCCTTTACAGAAGGAAGTGGCAGTTTTTGGGTTTTGTTAATGACAACGACCTTTGCGGCATAGTAAGTTGTCTGCATGGCACAGATCAGACGCCTTGTGGTCCTCAACGAGGAGACGTCACCTTTGAATGGCAGTTCAATGATTACAGGCTTTTTAGGTACCGTGTGAACTAGGTCCCTTGGTCGTACTTGACTATGTTTCTCGATGAACCTTCGGGGGTAGCCGTTTTCGATAAGCGTGTTGGCAATCAACTGTACTTCGTCAGCCAGGCAATCAGCAGAGCAGATTCGTCTGGCACGGCTAATCAGGGTTCTCACGAGCGTCCGCTTGTATCGCATTGGTGTGAAGCTAGTGAAATGCAGATACTGCCCGGACCATGTTGGTTTCCTGTAGACAGACCTCTTAATCTGCCCGTTTTCTCTGCGGCTGATAAGGATATCTAAGTACGGAAGTCAATTTTGCTTCTCTACCTCACAGGTGACACGCAAGTTATAATGCGCAGAATTTAATTGCTTTACCAACTGCTGCATCTGATGCCCCGATGAGCAAATTACCAAAATATCATCCACGTAGCGTTTGTAGTATGGAAGTGGAGATATTTCTCCAGACATACCTAGCTCTACCATTAACATAAAGAAATTAGCAAATACTGGGCCCAATGGACTGCCCATCGCAACCCCATCAATCTGACAGTACGGTGTGTTTCTGAAGTGAAAATTGACGTTCTCCGTACACAACAACAAAGAGTCTCTTAGTAGCTCAACTGGCATCGGTAGGGGACAACGCGAACTTACTGCTAGTTCACAAATGTAATCAACGGTTTGGTTCAGGGGAACATTGATAAAAAGCGATTCCACAACTAAAGAGCACATGACCTAGTCGGATGTATTGCCGAGGTCGTCGATAAGCTCGAAAGAATCTTTGAGGCTGTATAGATTGACCCACTCTCGCAGAGGAGAAAGCAATTTCGTCAGCCAGCGAGCCAGTTTATGTTGAGGCGCGTTTACCATCGATAGAATCGGTCTGTGGCACCCCACTCATATATACTTTCGGTAGTCCGCAGAGCGGAGGAGTAGTGGAGCCGGTCGGCTTTAAGCTGTCATACTTATCACTGTCGATCACACGATGCAGATGAAGCAAATCTAAGTGACGAGTTATGCGAGACTCTAACACAGTCACATCCCCTGCCCTCACAAATCGTTTGAATTTAATTGTGACCTCGAGTATGACTGTCATCTTCTTTAGGTATTCATTCGCATTCATGAGTATTACACCAGCACCTTTAGCTAGCTTTGGTATAATCACATCCTCGGCACGCAGCTCGCGTAGCGTCTGAAAATGCCGTCTTGAAAGCGCACACTTTTCTTTCAACGGCAAATGTTTAACCTCATAGGCAATATCTGTTAGATTGTTTCTCAAACACATGAGGTTATCAGCACTGCATGGCTGTAGATCTATCACTTGGTCAAAGAACGTCCCAAACTGCGATTCAATAACAAGGAATTCAATAACAAGGAATTTGTAGTCCATGCCAAATGATAATGATTCCAATTGTAAGGAAACAACCTCAAATCCGACATATTCAAAACATAATTACGGATGTCACGATAAGAACCGACATGATAATAAACGAAAACACGAAGCTGGTATACACACACACACACACACACACACACACAAAAACATACACACACAAAATCACACAATCACACAAATACACAATCAAGCACTCGGTCAATTGCGACACTCAGTTCGAAACACCGTCAGGTCACAACCAAGCCACACGGGGTGATCTCCAATAAGTAGGTCCGAACACGCTCACAGATGAACGAAACGCGGGCACGCCTGTTGCATTCCACTGCTCCACCACACTCACCGCTCACCTACAACGTGCAGAGTAACACTCTACACGTCCAACCCACAAACAGCATGGATGACAACTACAACATCCTCGTGCATACAATCAACGGCGAGCCAGACAAAACAGACAGCCCACTCGGTGCCCATGAAACGCCTGGTTCCAATCCATACACTCCCAATACTAATGACAAAATCTGAACAACAGAGCAGCAAACCAGCGAAACAGTCCGCTGTGGTGCAACCTCAAGGAACCTCTCAGCCGATATACACTATCACGCACCAGTCCACAAATCACCCTCCAACAGCCGCATCAAACATTCACTCACCGTATTCCAGTTTGGTCGACACCGGTTTCGTATCGACAAACTCCGACTGTCCAACTTCGTTCTTCGCTGCCACACTGAAGATGTACGACTTGTTCAACTGAAGACCTTCGATCGGTGTCTGCAACTCACTGGTTGTCGTCACCGGCTTGCCCACACGTTGAGTCGCCTCACGCATCTCCACCACGTACGTCAACCCTTCCGCCGCCGACACGTCCACACTGAGGCCGAGGAATTCCGGTTCCAACCAGTAGAACACCACACGTTCGCCCGTGTTCTCCCTCACTTCAGGCTGACGAGGCGCCGACGGCTTGTCCAGCACAATCAATTGCACCGACACTGACACTTCGCCCAACTCGTTACTAATCGTCACCACGTAGTCACCAGCGTCTTCCCGCTTCACCTTACCCAACGGCAACGATGTCAAACCAGACACCACATCCGGTTTGAAGCGCGGAGTTTGACTCGCACCCGGCTCCGAATCCGGACGTACCCGCGGTCTCCACACCCACTCCACCTTCGGTTTCGGACTCGCTGCGAACGGAATCTCCAGCACAGCTGACGCTCCAGCTTTCAATATCACCTTGTCCCTGAACTTCTCCGTCAAACGCAACACAGGTGCCACTGAACGGTGCAACAGAAGGGAGAAAGACAACAGTGACCAGTAACCCACGAGGTACACAACAAATCAGCTACGAATACCAACAACCTCACGACATCACCGAAAACGACAGCTCGAGAAGCATACGACCAATGCAATGCACTGAATGGTAACGCAACGAAACGGAACGCAGTTCACGCTGTCAGATACCACATCACAGGCTTCACATCACGAACACACAGATCGCACACAATACAGTAACCTGTGCAGGCAAACCACCTCTACCACCCCGATCCTGCGGACTCGCCTAGAAACACCCCATGGCCGACATCATCCGTCTATACACACTCGAACATCACACCAACTGAGCACAAACAAAGCAAACACCACAACACCGAACCGATCGAAATACACTCACCAACAGCATATCGGAATACAACTTTCGTACAAACCTTGACATATACCTGACTTTCGGCAGTGTAATCGCCCCCCCCCTTTGATGCACCATTACCATCCATCAAGCGAATGAGCAAGCCTCACACATCGCATTACTGAAACTTGCAAATGATCGTGCCATATGCTGCCCCTCGGTTTACTTCTGTCTTCTATTCCACACGCCGGTTCCACCTACTCCGAACGCTCACCGCTGATTACTCATCTCAATGGCACATCGGTGCATCTTATCCTCTGCATCCCATCTTCGCCCTCAATACTTCCCCTTCATTTTAGCTGCATACACTGCGACCATGCGTCAGTTGAACCAATGACAAATTCCTCAGCTATACAACCATACCCGGTCAATTTGCACTCCACTCATAACTTCATTTCCGTTTTATCTGCTCTCACACTTCCCATCCCATTGTGGAACCACTCACGCGTTAGTACGTTCGACACACACACCTCCTCCCATAACCACTTCAACCCACCTCCTCCCTCTACACTTCGCCTCCTGTTCACTTGCTTTCGTTCTCCGAAACCGAAACATTCCCTCATATGATGATCGATTGGATCTTCACTCAGACTGTTTAGCATGTCTTCAACATTTCCTTGACCTACTCATAGCCTCATTAACTACCTAACACAAATTCCGAGTACCGTCGGCCTATCAGCTTAATGTCTTGCTTTCTTTCTCTGATCACACTACCTAATCATCCCGAACAACACGCATCGTGTCTGCCAACCACAAACACCGCTTACAACATTGACTTACAACCGGTTGGCTGAAATATTCACCGTCCGTCAACCCGTGGTATTGTGTACTAACGTTCCCCAATAACCACACCCATTACGATCCAAATTCTATCTGCATGAACCACAAACTCTTCGCTACATCATACACAAATCACTTCTATTTACTGATCCACGCACTTTGCCATTCACTTCTCAAATGCTTGATTTAAAATCCACGTACATTTTTCACATTTCCTCTCTTCACGACGTTCCAGACCGCTATTCCTTCGACCTCATGATTGCCAACAAACAACGACGGATTTTCAAACGAAATATCTGCCTGATAGCTGAGAGCAAATTTGCTCGCGATCGATGAACAACTTACATGTAAGCACAGTTCTGAATGAATACTCTACCTAATGCAACGACCACGTTCACCTTCACACTGACTCACGCCTATGAGAAATATACATATTATTAGCAACATTATGACTACCAGTATAACAGTTATACTCTGCCACACATCACACAGATGATGCAAATCGCAGCGTAGACAACGGCAGATAGGTGAACCGGAGCTGCCATCGTCGCCCACTCACATTAAGCATCTGCTCACATTAACGAATCAATCAGCGCACCAACACCAACACTCTCAGGGGAGTACAACTCCACTGATGTGTTGACACATTATTCCACTACAGCACTGCGGAAATACAGGCGACTGCAATGAGCATGACATTGCTAATGATACGGTCGGTTCGATGCGATCGTCGCATACATCTGCTCCATCTCAGAAGACCACACCTTGCACCGTCGTAATCAGGGTCCAGCCACTCATTCGCATCCACGAGTACATACCATATGATGCCCAAACCTAAGTGACCGACAACCGCTTTGTACGTACACCAATCACCTAACACAGAAATAGTACACTCAACCGCTCCACACACACACACACACACACACGCACAAACACACACACAAAGTCACTTAAAGCAAATGACAAGTCAACTCGCACTCACCCTTCATATCCACTCGCGCCTCGCTACTCAAACCATTCACGCGAATTGTGTAAACACCCAAATCACCGTCTTCCAATGCGCTGAACACAATCCGATGCACTCGACCATCCGAAGCCTCCTCCACACGAACACGGTCCGGAGTACGACCCAACGGTTTACCATCCTTCAACCACTGCACCTTGTCACGCGGCGCACGTGACAACTCGCATTCCAGCACCACCGGCTCACCAGTCACTTCGGTCACTGCCACATCGGTCAGTGGGCGAACGAACTCCAGCGGGATTCCTATCACCACACAAAGCAAACGAGAAGGGTACACATTCACATGATTGCAACATCCTGTCGACCGAGCACAACATTACCAAGTAGTACTAATCGCTCCACACACACAAGCACACCAAAGAGCGATGACGAACAAATACAACTGGACACTCACCCAGTTCCACCGGATTCGAAGGTTCCGATGGCTTGCTCTTGCCCGCCTTATTCTCCGACGTCACACGAAACTCGTACTTCGTGAACTCCTTCATACCCTTGCACGACACAGTGCAATGTGGTTCGGGCACAGTGAACTCCGCCGCTACCTCTTGCCAACGCGTCGAATCCGATGGCTTCATCTCGATGTAGAAATTCGACACTGGCCCAGCACCACTCGCCTCGTCCGTCGGTTGCTCCCACGTCAGTTCGATGCTCTGCTCCGATACTGCAGCCCGCGCCGGATTCACCACCGCCTTCACGTTGGTCGGACTACGTGGAGGACCTGCAACACAAACACCAACGGGCAATACGTGATCTGCAAAATCAACCCAGTTCACTCAACCAAATACACACTGTACTTGAGTACAAACTCACACACAACCTATTGCCGGATCTGCTAACGAAGTGTCGCACAACCGGGCTGCCTAGAATCCGTGGCAATTACTCTACCCACAGCCATGGCTGGCTCATCACAGACACTGGCTCACAGTCTGGCAAGTATGCAAGCAAGCAAACATGCGAGCACGCACGCACGCACACACACACATGGACGTGCGATGCAACAGACAGCGTGACACCAGCAGCAATTCATCAACTCCTCCGTTTTACAACTCATGAGTTCTCGCTCCACGCTGGACACATGCATTTCCACACACGAAGTGACCTAGCATGCCAATCGGGATCTCCCAAAAGCCAATCCCTGGAATGGGAACAACGTACGGCGAACACGAATCGCATAGGCCATAACTAAGACACCTCCGCCACAACTACACGACCGCAGGTTGACCATCACATTGGGCTAAGCCATCGAACGCGCTGTACATGCATCTCCAACGATGTTGTTAATTTGAAAAGCGCAGCAAGTAAACAAAGACTGGCAAATGCACGCATTTCGTATTGCCTCATCCGTGCCTTAACAATAACTCTCAATAATACTTATTCATTGAAGGGTGCGACAAACATACATACAAACAGACAAATGGACCAACACATGATAAATGAGACAGGATTATCCCCTATCCCCAGGGCAGTCTAATGCTGACTGATTAATTGACCGGTTATTTGCAATCGTCTCTGCGAAACGGAGGAGGCGAGAATTGTGTGTTGTAATAGGATTGTGAACGCCGAATTGACCTCGACTCAGTGACCTGTGGTCAATAGGTGTCGGCCGATCGAAGAGGCTGGTGGCTTACGCAGACAAGCAGCTTGACTCTGGCCGGTTTCCTGCGCGGTCGAACGTTGAACCCACTTAGGTATATGCTCCTTCATTCGGGAACTCAATGTTCTATCGGTCCTGCCTATGTAACTGGCGCCGCAGTCACAAATGAATTGGTAAATGCAATGCGATTTGGTCCCGATAGACTGAGCCTCCTTTACAGAAGGAAGTGGCAGTTTTTGGGTTTTGTTAATGACAACGACCTTTGCGGCATAGTAAGTTGTCTGCATGGCACAGATCAGACGCCTTGTGGTCCTCAACGAGGAGACGTCACCTTTGAATGGCAGTTCAATGATTACAGGCTTTTTAGGTACCGTGTGAACTAGGTCCCTTGGTCGTACTTGACTATGTTTCTCGATGAACCTTCGGGGTAGCCGTTTTCGATAAGCGTGGTGGCAATCAACTGTACTTCGTCAGCCAGGCAATCAGCAGAGCAGATTCGTCTGGCACGGCTAATCAGGGTTCTCACGAGCGTCCGCTTGTATCGCATTGGTGTGAAGCTAGTGAAATGCAGATACTGCCCGGACCATGTTGGTTTCCTGTAGACAGACCTCTTAATCTGCCCGTTTTCTCTGCGGCTGATAAGGATATCTAAGTACGGAAGGCAATTTTGCTTCTCTACCTCACAGATGACACGCAAGTTATAATGCGCAGAATTTAATTGCTTTACCAACTGCTGCATCTGATGCCCCGATGAGCAAATTACCAAAATATCATCCACGTAGCGTTTGTAGTATGGAAGTGGAGATATTTCTCCAGACATACCTAGCTCTACCATTAACATAAAGCAATTAGCAAATACTGGGCCCAATGGACTGCCCATCGCAACCCCATCAATCTGACAGTACGGTGTGTTTCCGAAGTGAAAATTGACGTTCTCCGTACACAACAACAAAGAGTCTCTTAGTAGCTCAACTGGCATCGGTAGGGGACACCGCGAACTTTCTGCTAGTTCACAAATGTAATCAACGGTTTGGTGCAGGGGAACATTGGTAAAAAGCGATTCCACAACTAAAGAGCACATGACCTTGTCGGATGTATTGTCGAGGTCGTCGATAAGCTCGAAAGAATCTTTGAGGCTGTATAGATTGACCTACTCTCATAGAGGAGAAAGCAATTTCGTCAGCCAGCGAGCCAGTTTATGTTGAGGCGCGTTTACCATCGATAGAATCGGTCTGTGGCACCCCACTCATATATACTTTCGGTAGCCCGCAGAGCTGAGGAGTAGTGGAGCCGGTCGGCTTTAAGCTGTCATACTTATCACTGTCGATCACACGATGCAGATGAAGCACATCTAAGTGACGAGTTATGCGAGACTCTAACACAGTCACATCCCCTGCCCTCACAAACCGTTTGAATTTAATTGTGACCTCGAGTATGACTGTCAACTTCTTTAGGTATTCATTCGCATTCATGAGTATTACACCAGCACCTTTAGCTAGCTTTGGTATAATCACATCCTAGGCACGCAGCTCGCGTAGCGTCTGAAAATGCCGTCTTGAAAGCGCACACTTTTCTTTCAACGGCAAATGTTTAACCTCATAGGCAATATCTGTCAGATTGTGTCTCAAACATATGAGGTTATAAGCACTGCCTGGTTGTAGATCTTTCGCCTGATCAAGGAACGTCCCAAACTGCGATTCAATAAGAAGCTACTTTAATATTCTAGGAGGAATTTATAGTCCATGCCAAATGATAATGCTTCCAATCGTAAGGTATTGACTTCAAATCCGACATATTCAAAACATATTTACGGATGTCACCATAAGAAACCACATGAAAATACACGACAACACGCAGCTGGTCTACACACACAAACACACACACATACACAATCAAGCACTCGATCAATTGCGACACACGGTTCGAAACACCGTCTGGTCGAAACCAAGCCACACGGGGTAATCTCCAATACGTTAGTCCGAACACGCTCACAGATGAACGAAACGCGGGCACGCCTGTTGCATTCCACTGCTCCACCACACTCACCGCTCACCTACAACGTGCAGAGTAACACTCTACTCGTCCAACCCACAAACAGCATGGATGACAATTACAACATCCTCGTGCATACAATCAACGGCGAGCCAGACAAAACAGACAGCCCACTCGATGCACATGAAACGCCTGGTTCCAATCCATACACTCCCAATACTAATGACAAAATCTGAACAACAGAGCAGCAAACCAGCGAAACAGTCCGCTGTGTTGCAACCTCAAGGAACCTCTCAGCCGATATACACTATCACGCACCAGTCCACAAATCACCCTCCAACAGCCGCATCAAACATTCACTCACCGTATTCCAGTTTGGTCGACACCG